GGGGGGGGGTGTGTGTGTGTGTGTGTGTGTGTTTTGGGGGGGAAGCACTTTGTTTCACTCGTCACTCTTCCATTCCCCTCCTTTCAGGTCTTCCATTTAACTGGCCAGACATTGAGGGTGGAATCACATTTAATTTCTATATTTATATCCTTATATGTATATTATGTACGTGGCATACTATATTGTAAATATTACTACATTTATTTTATATTTATATATTTTAAAACAGCAACTTATTTAGTGTGTTACGGAGCTCTCCGAGGAAGGACACCTTTCAGGAAGAAGGCAGAGCAAAGGAAAGAGAGGAGAGAGGGCGCCAACCCCGGCGCTGGCTCTCGGGTCCAGCCGTCTATTCTTCCACTACGCCACCAGCCGGGTGGCACTTACACCACGCTTTCCTTTACCTCGGGGGACAGTAATAGGGCTCACTGGGACACAGGGACACCAGCGGGGCCAGGAGCAGAGGCTGGGACTTGTCATCAGCCCTGCTCCGGCCCTGACCTTCTGGAAGCAAGCTTTATGACCCGCGCTTCCCAGCTGCGTCAGGTGGGAGCCCTATTTTCTCACGCTGGGAAAGCATTTTAAACCAAGGGACACTTTTACCTCTAAAATTCAATTATATAAGAAAGGCAAAGCTGCCCTAAGAAATCTTAACAGTTGAGGGGACAAAAACATCTCCCCTTGTGTGTTTATGCAAAGTAAAAATTTTTTAATTAAAAAAATGAAAGTATATGTTTCTCCCATGAAATAATGATAGAAATCTCTTACAATCAGCCTGTGTTGTTTTTAAGAAAGACGTCCCATGTTTATTGTACTTTCTTTCTCAATTGTGGCACTGGCAATTACTATCTCTGTTGTGACTTTTTACTTGATAGGTAGCAAAGCTTTATGTCATTCGTCTTTTATTTGTATCCATCTTGGCTGTGCAGGCCTCAGTCTAGAGACTGATTGTCCTCAACATATAATTACTGCATTGAGTTGAACTGAATGGAATTTTTAGCTTTAGTCTTTATTGAAGATGCTCAACTTCATAATTTAAGTGGA